CCATAAAATGGTACTTGAACAGACTGTTCAGTACGCAATCTAGTGCAATAATTGTGACTGATAGGAGCAATATGAGACTTATGAGCCCATAATATGGAATGATATGCAAATAATTTTCTTATATTGAATATATTTAATTCCTTATACAGTAGTTCTGTAGAATATCTAAAATCTTTTTTGAAAATAATTTTTAGTAACGTATTTTGAACGACTTGCAAATTTAGTAACTTGTTGTCATACAGACCACCCCATATACAAATACAATACCCCAGTAATGACTGGGCCAGAGCATCATAAACTACATGTAATAATTTAGTATTAAGAACATCTCTAATTTGGTAGAATGCATGTATTAAACTTCTAAGTCTTTTTGTAAGATATTGCACATGAAAATCCCAACGTAGATGCTGATCAACTACCACTCCTAAATATTTAATTTTATTTACTTTTTCTAAACATTCACATTTACAACTGTTTACATCATTGCAATTATTTTTATGGATTTTTATAAGAGAAAATTCCGGCTGATCCGCCTCAGTAATAGTAAAAGTTAAAAATTTTGATTTCTTTACGTTAAGACTAAGAAGGTTCTCGTTCAACCAATACCAGAGATATTTCATAGAATGCTCCGCCCTGCAACACTAAGGGCCAGGAGTCATCAACAAAAATTATGGCTGTATCATCAGCGTAAGAAATGATATGGCAATCTATGCTATCCAAAAATGCCAAGTTATTTATATATATTATAAATAAAACAGGGCCCAATATTGTACCCTGAGGGATACCCTTATTAACCAAAAGTGAATCCCTTAATGTTTTATTTATTTTTACTTTTTGTTTTCTATCAGACAGGTAACTCCTAAATAATTCAAGTGCAACACCCCTTACATTCAAATCAGACAGTTTTTCGAAAAGCAACAAGTGATCCACGGTGTCAAATGCCTTAGCCAGGTCCAGAAATATACCAAGACATTTTTTATTTTTATCTAAGGAATAAACTATATTGTTAATGAACTCCAGGACAGCATCTTCAGTACAGTAAGTTTATTTCTGAAACCGTATTGACTGTTTGATAAAATTTTAAATTTTTCTAGATACCCAATAAAACGAAATTTTAAAGATTTTTCAAATATTTTGGCAATGTTATTAATTACAGATATAGGTCTATAATTTGTAACAAGTTCTTTAGATCCAGCCTTATAAATTGGAGTAGTTATAGATTCTTTCCAGAGAGAGGGTATCTGCCCATGTAAAAAACAGAGATTGATCAGATGAGCTAGTGGCTTAAGCAAAAATTTGTGAATAATTTTTAAAGTAATAACTGATATGCCATCAGGGCCTGACGCTGTGTTATTTTTTAAACTACCAACATAGGATATAATTTCCTTTTCGGTCACAGGAAATAAGAAAAAACTGGGATTAGAAAACCGTTTATTAAGTTCTGGCTGAGGATTAGAGCTGTTATCAATTTCTGATACCATTTTGTTACCAATATTAATGAAAAATTCATTAAAAAAATTTGCTTTATCTTTGTCATTTTTAATGAGTTTATTGTCCTTACCGATAATATTAAAACAGTCGTCTTTTTTATTTAGACAATTTGTAGCTTCCTTAATTACTTCCCATGTTTTTTTATAGTTATTGTGTGTCTGGTTTAATTGATTTTTATAGTATTCATTTTTTGTGTTTTTCAAAAGTTTAGTTAGCGTATTTCTGGAATGTTTATACTCAGCTAAAAATTCCGGCGAGTAATTTTTTGTCTTTTTAACTTATCTCTGCATCTTATAGAATTTATTAAGTCAGCTGTAATCCATGGTTTAATTTTTTTCATTCTATTGTTCGAGTATTCTGATATTACAGTATTTGATAGAATGTACTTTGTAAGTTTAGAATAGAATAGTAGTATATTATGTATTAATAATGATAATAATACTAATGCTAAATGTTAAATGGGCAACGGAAAGCGTCACAACTATGGTTGTTAGTTTTAGCAGGATTACATTTAAATCCTGCAGTATTTCTTGGATGCAATTTAGCTTGGATACGAAATATTTCTAGAAATTTGGAGCAAACAATAAATGCACTGTAAAAAAATCACTCAAATTCAGTCAATTTTAGCCAATAATGTATTAATTTCTGTCCACACCCGATTGAGAGAAATTTTCACTGCAGTAGAATAAGTACAACTAAAATTTTATGAGTGAAACTATTGCAGCAGAGTGAATTTTACTCAAATAAGAGTTTTTGCTAACTATCAAGTGAATGAGTCGATAGTTGTCGAGGCAAACGTTCGCTGAAGAGTCCTCGTGTGGAGTCGCCCGCAGATATATATGTATCTCGTCCCTGGTGCCAATCTGCCGTCGACCTTTTCCTGGAACCCAGGTGCGTCCCGCGTTTGTTCTTTGTTCTTACAACTGTTAGACCGGTCCGGCGACATAATACTTAAAATGGGTCACTTGCAGACATGTGTACCCACACTAGTCATAAACTACTAAGCTGCCACAATGGTTTCTACACAAATCTGTTTTAGAGACAGTATTTTAGGTCTCGATTAAAGGAATTGGTAAAGTGATCGGACGAATAGATTGCCATAACCTATATTGTAAGTTACAGATACGTAAATAAGTATAGGTAACAATTTAACTATGTATATGTTTATTTAACCAAATATTTACTCGAGACTCAATATATTAAGTTTTGTTTTTAATTATTGTAATCAATTCACTGTATTTAAACACCAAAATAACCGCATAAACGGGTACTTGTCCAGCACAACACGCCATAAGGTGACCTAATGGGGAATAGACAAAGACAACGCACGACAACAATGGAATGGGGTAGGGCCACTCAATAATGAGGACATTTACTCCGATTTAGCTATAAATGTGCCAAATACGAGTTTATATTCAGAATTTATTTAACGGGTACCTAGGTATATTTGACTGAAAGTACTCAATTTTTGTTCAATTATCACAAAATATCAAAATTATCAAAATGTACTCAATAATTTCACTCACTTCGTACCTTTATTGCTTTCAGTCACACTAATTTTTTTACAGTGTTAGACTGTGTAGAAGCATGTACAAAGAAGTTACTGAAATACAAATTCTTCTAGTCTTTAAACTAGTAACATCAAATCGACTGGTTAAAACATTGTTAGTTATCCTTCTCGAGATAGACACCAACATCTTTATGTGCTAGATACTTCAAAAACATTCTTAAAAACGTTCCGCGAGTGTCTTTTATATGTTAAAAAAAGATACCAAACGAGCGTTGCATACCCTAGTCTAGAACGTACATAAGCAAAATACAAAGTTTTAATAGCATTTGTCAGTAAATTGGATAGACTTAGGCCAGGTACTTTGAGTCTCGATTAAGGCTTGATTAACTAATCAAGCGATTAGACTGTGATTATACTTTATAAAATAAATAGGAAATATGTAGGTAATCTATTCTCTACAACAGGATTCTATATGGTCGAGTTCCTTCTGTAGGTTATTATAATTATCAAAACTAGTTATGGCTGAGAATATTTTTAAATCATCATCAGGAAATAATTTACAACAGCGTTAATAGATCTTTTACAGAAAAAAGAACAAGATATAGCCGAAAAAAAAGAAGGTTAAAACATGATTGGGAACTCAGATTATAAAGTAAACAAAAATATTACAAACTGCGGCCCCGAAAACCAAATTTGACGCGAATGTGTTATTTTTTTAAAATTTGGTAGGCCATCTTGGATCCGCCATCTTGAATTTTGCAAAATTTTCCTCGGATCCGTGATTAGCGACCCCAAAAACTCCCATACATCAAATTTAGCGTGAATCTGTTATTTTTTGAAAATTCGTGATATCTGAACTTAATTGACTCGTTTTTTTGTGGTTAGAAAAAAAACCCTGACCGCGGATTCACTTTCGGCGAGGTCTTAACCATGAAAGTGAACATTTGAATATAGAAAAACAATAATAATTTTTCCTAGCACATTTTCATGAATTTTTGCTATTTTTGACCTGTTTTTTGAGGTTAGGAAATTCCTGTTATGTGATAGCTCAATTCTGACACACCGGATTCGTGATCAGGCGGCAAAAATACTACAGATAACATATGTCGCATTAAAAGTACAGAAAACTTTTTTGTGTGTGGCTGTGTATTTCATCTAAAACATAGTTAATATAATTCTCCATAATTTAGTTTAAAATATTATATGTTTACAAAAAGCAAGCTATCTATTAAATATTTCTTGTACAAATAAAAGAGCAAGATATTCTGACGAATATTATGTAAAGAGTTATTTTTCTCGAAATCTAAATCGATTTGCTTCGTTGATTGCAATTTATTAATAATAAATTAATTTTTTATTGCTGTTTCATTAATTTACTATTCTACTGTTATTTTACTATATTTTTTTGTCCATTGACAACTATTTTTTTAACATAATTTATAGTTTTGTTTGTTTTTTTTTATATTTTATTTATTGTGTACACAAATTTCTACATTGTTGTTTATTTGTTCACCCTTTTTTCCCGTTGAATGAACTGAAATTAATTAAATAAGTAAATGATTCGATTTTCAATTTTATATCAACCCCTAACAAATTGTTCTGAGGTTGTTACCACTATGAGTTGTTTGAACTACATATTCAAGTATTTGCAATCGTTCAAAGAAAAAAAATCCTATCTAAAACTGTTTAAGGAACCTATTGCGGTAATTCATAAATCATAGACTATTTTAAACAGGACCATACACGATTTTGGTTAGAAACTTTTTATTTTCGCTATTCTACAATATTCCTTGAATAATCCATAATATTTTGAGTATTTTATTATCCCTCCCCTGACAAATTGTTCCGAGACTGTTTGTGATTATAAGAGATGTCCGATCAAGTGCAGCCGAGACGGCGTTATTGATGCTGTGACCTTTTTCACTTTTAGTTCCGCGCCCTCCTCGGAACCCGCTCTCTTAATGAAGACTTAACTTCTTTAACGTCTTGATGTTTTTAGGTGGCATACGGGCGAATGGGGCCCGTGCTCAGTCAGCTGTGGAGGCGGTTCGAAACTTCGCCAAGTTCACTGCGTCGAGGAGACAAACAATACCAAAATAAGGGTAAGATTTCTAACTTCTGGATAATAGACTTGCGGCTCGCCAACAGTTTTTAAAATCATCTAATCTAGCATGTCGCAAATATATTTTTAAATATCCATTACTAATTTTATCTGAGCCAATTTAAATTAATATATAAAGTTATACCTATTCCAAAGGGTATGTACACACTTAAAGGGGATATTTCAAAGTGTAAATAAATCGAGGATAGAAAACACGATTGACAGAAACATTTTTTGTAAATAGAATATTTTTATAAATACCTGCTGACTTACCACACCGATACGATGAAAACTTTTGGGAACCACTGACCCCACCGATTGTTCTGCTTCTATTTATAATTGTTGATGCATATCTATTTGGAAATCGTTGTCATAAACTTGTGCAGTTAACTAACAGTTTTCTTCATAATCAACCATCGTTACTGCAGTGATGGGCCATTTTAATATGTGTAGTCACATTCATTAATACACACACCAGAACACACTATACTTCCACAAAAAGAAAACAAAATTGAAATAAGAAACTGGGAAAATAAATTACTTCATTTCAGTAATTGTTCACTAATAATTTTTATAATAAAAGAAGCACAGTTTAATAATGAACACTAAGGTAGCACTCAAAACTTTTCTATTTATTGGAAAAAACGAAACACAGAAACAGACGACAAACTATTTACATCCGCAAATATTCGCCTTTATTCATGTAGTATGTAACTCGGGAATGATTTAGAGGTTCTCAATAAATTTAAATTAATTTAATTCTGATAATGATTTATTTAAAGCACCGTTTTCCAGTTTTAACGATTTGGATCATTGAAAAATAAAAAATCAAAAAATCCTCTTTAAGTTTGTAAGCATCGTTCAATTCACTGTGTTAAAGAATATCCCGCGAAAAGACGTACAAATGTTGAAAGAACGTCTTTTAGACAGAAATATGGAAAAATGTTTCGGACACGTACCATATAGTTTTTTTTAAATAAAATCAGTTAGTCCTGCGTTTTAATTAGCAGTGCAATATTTTTGACTTCTTACTTCTTCCTTGCATTAACTTCTAGGTCTCCATCCTATGACTTCATTTCGAATACATTTACATTTTTTGTTAAAACAACAACACTTCCTCCTATTCTTATATTTTGTAATATATTATGTACTTAAATGATCGTTACAACTTTTAGTTTTACAACAAATGTTACAGTGTTTGAAAGGAATTTTGTTAAAAAGATGAACACAAGAAAAATAACTAAATCTGAACTATGATAAGAAAAATAAATTAAACATAAAACAAACGAAAAATTTAAACAAAACTACAAAAAACGTTTAACAGTTCAACATAATGAAGTGAATAATGAAATTAGGAATAATTTTTAAATAATTAAATAAGGAATAATGTGTACGATTTTGTTTCAAAGATCAACGCTAACCTACAAAGCTTGTTTCTTTTTAAATTAATTCTATAACAATACTAATATTTGTTCCATAGTCGAGTACCATGCCATATCCCTCAGAAACCTAGTCTGGCATGGAAACTTCTGCACCGGCATCTAGTTTTTTTTTAATCCAAAGGTCACCTTTAAAATCAAAAAGCTGGCAAAGCATTCATTAGATTTCTCTCTTATCACACAAATAATCCTTGCGACCCTTCAACTTTCAGTGAGCATCATAATGCTACTTCCTGAAAATCTGAAAATTAGTTATATTCGATTTTCAAGTCACAAAATGAAACCATGAATATACAGTTTGTAGAGTCCGAATAGTCATGTTCCCTACAGTTCTTCATGGCTACCGGAAATCCCCTACTTCCCAAAACCCTAAATTCTGCAAAGATATCTATCTACAATCCTGATATACCCGAAATCTCTGATGTTGTGAGTGAGTAGAGAAAATGCAGTAAATTAATACAGTGGTTTTCAGTTATTCTTTTCCTTTTGTTCGCTCTCATAGAACCATGTATGTATTCAGCAGTAATCATCAAATCATCCATAATAAGTTTTTCCCATTTGCTGTGATACTACTCACAACAGTATTAATATCTACAAATAATGAATTAGTGAATGTTAAAGAGGGGTACGTATAAAAAGTAAAATGAGAAAACGGGATCCTCTATAGACTTTTCGAAGGTTAAAGGAAAAGAGAATGAAAGATTACAAAAAACCACTCTACTTTATGTACACTGTACATCTTTAGGTGTACTGAATTGATCTTTTCGTCTCACTCATAACTGCCGTGATTGCAAATCTAGAGTCCTTTTCAGGGCCGGATCCAAAAAAGGAGTCGGGAAATAGGGGATTTCGGGTATACATATAAAATTGCAAAGTTACATCGATTTGACTTGATTAACTTTGTCTTTTTATGACCTGAATATGACTGGAGTATTGGGTGAGTGGATCATACTGTACAATACCTGTAAATTAGGAATTTAGGTTCAGTATTAAATAAACTTGCATTACACACTTGTATTGAATGTAGAATTTGAATTGATTTTAAGTTTTGGTGATAGTTTTTTGATGTTCATCCAAAGCTGAGAGATTGGAAGGGTCGATTGATTGGAAATATGCAATGAACCCAACGAACGTGATGTGTCGTATTATTTATTGTTTTCAACGCTTTGCTCAATGAGATACTCACTAAATGTTGAATATCTTGTGATTTTTTGGATATTAAGGATTTGGATTGTTATTTTTGCTGTCTCGAGGGATCACAAGGGTTAATTGAGTGTTTTGGTCACCAAAATATCCGATGAGCCCTCTGAATATACGTCCACTCGATTCCAAGATTATGCGCATGGAAAAAACCTATTAAATATAGTTTTATTTTTTTCCTAAAAATCTATTTCAGCGGTGCATGTGTTTTAGCAATTAGAAAAGAAAACTGGAGGGTGACGAACCATTTTCCGTGACAGATTCGGTTTCTGAGGTCACAACACATAGCATGGCATGAGTCTTGTCAATTGAACAGGCAATGTTTCATCATCAATCTTGTTATTTACTTATTTTTTTGTGTTAATCTATTAACTAAAATTCTTTTTAGAAACTGATGTTTCTATTTTAAAACAAAAATAAAGGCAATCATTTAAAGTATAAATTAATTGTTTTAACCAAGCATATGGAGACATTTTAAAAAATCGTAATGAGAGTATAATACTGTTTATACAAAGAATAGAAAATAAAATTTAACAAGTTTTGAAATATGTTAAAAGTGGAAGTTTGGTAATATCCTGTATGATCGATTTTAAAATTTAAAATAATGAAAAAAAAAGAACGTATTTTACAAACTAACAATAATTATTTCTGGGTTAAATTCAATGTTTAAAAACTCGCGACTCAGCTGCTGGGCTACCTCATCCAAAATCAGCATACCAGCCAGTAATTTACTTAATAATAATTAATAAACTCATCGGAATACAGAGGCATCGTTATTCGAAATTTTAAATTAAGTTGCCTTGCGACTACCGTGAAGCAAATTAGCTTTAGAGGCACCAGAACAAACATGTCTGTTCTAAGCTTGGCGAAGCTCACAAACCTGTAATTTAATGTAAAATATTCATTACAGTGAGGGCTCAACGGAGACAAATATGTAAGTTATTCCTGAAACAGTCTCTCATTGTATAATGTAGCATACATGAATTTATAACACTGAAAATCTGGAGACGCTAAACCAAAACAGTATTTTATCTTTATTAAAAAACGAAACGTTAATACTTTTCTTTAAAATTTTGAGGTCAGGATATTTAATAAAAAACTGGTTTGTAAAGGAATTTGCCAACGTTTCGAATATACAGGGTGATTCAGGTTTAACTTGAATAACTTCAGGAGTCGATAGAACAGGTTAAAATAATGTTTATTCATGATATAAATTTATTTCCTAAATCGCACCAAGATGGAGGGCGTTGAAGTAGGAATTTCATTGAATATCTCAGAAACAAGGTCCAATATCGAAAAAAAAAACAAGAGACGAAAATGTTTCAAAATTAAAGAGGCAAGGGTGAAATCAATTAATTTTTTTTATGTTTTGAAATAATGTAAGAGGGGGGGTAGGACACAAAATACACTTGTAAGAGGGGAACGTGGTTCAAACTTAAAAAGCTTATGTAAAATCATAAGGAGTGTTTGCGTTCCGAATTTCACTTCAATCGGATGAGTGGTTCAAAAGTTATAAGGGAAAACCGGGGAAAAAATCCTACTTCAACGCCCTCTATCTCGGTGCGATTTAGGGAATAAATTTATATCATGAATGAACATCATTTTAATCTGTTCTATCGATTCCTGAAGTTATCCAGATTAAACCTGAATCACCCTGTATATTTAGCCTTTCCTATACACACAATTGTGTCAGTAAAAATAATGAAACAGAGCATTTGTATTACACAATAGAAAATAACAATGAAACTTCTGCCATCAGACCAACGGTTATTTTTAGTGAGAGCAAAATTTTCATTGTTATCTTCTCTACAATGTCTTATTTTCTATGAAAAATTAAGAGATAACTAAGAGAGATTATAATGTTCTGCAAATAACTGTTGTTTTATCTCAAGTTTGTATATGCCTGTTGCAGAAAATTCAGCTTTTGCTGTCGAAATATATTTCAGAAAACCTGCCCAAATGTTCCTAGGTATATAAATCGTATATGACCGATATGATGGGACATTTTACTTATCACAAATTTGATCAAATCATTTAATGATAAGGAAATTATTTGTGTAATGCTGTTCCAATAAGTTTATGAACTGAGTGGTAGTATTTATTCTTCCAGAGTTCATTTTTAAATATGTCTGACAGCAGACCATGGAATAGCATCGTATTTCTCAACAATATCGAAACTGTATCCATCCGTAAGAATCGCTGAATTCCAATCCACTACATTAACTTTTACGATAAAAGTGATGCCAATTTTAGCAACTCAGAGAAAGCCCAAACAGTATGACTGTTAACTTTAGCAGACAATTTGTCATAAAATAAAATATAATATAAATATACATCACAACAGATATTTAACATCCGTTTG